GGATGTGATAGCTTCACAGTGCTGAGCTTTAACCCGTGGTGCCACCAGAGGGCCCACGAGCTGCTAGGTTTTGAGGTACAGAAGACATCTCAGAGGATTCAACAGAGACAGAGTGGGGAACAGAACAGGCAGATCGATGAAGTACACTGCTGAGGGGAGCAGCAGGGAGACAGGAGGAGTCTGCTGCACCCTGGGGGTCACTCCCCGCCGGGGATCGAACTCGTGCTGCAGTGGCTGTGATAGCTTCACAGTGCTGAGCTTTAACCCGTGGTGCCACCAGAGGGCCCACGAGCTGCTAGGTTTTGAGGTACAGAAGACATCTCAGAGAAGCCCCCACGTGGACAGATGCCCTGTGGGTAAGATGTTTTTGAGTTTTCTGGTTACACGGGAGCTCAGGAATAGGAAAAAGCCACTGGCGGGGGTAGGGTGGGACGGCAGCAGAGACCCCACTCCGTGGGACTGGCCGTGAGGTGCCGGCAGACCGGCGCAGCAAGTTCACCAATGGGAGGCTGCTCATGAAATCCAAGGTCTTCAGTGTGGGAGCCAGAGGCCAGGAGGAAAGGAGCCATTTGGAGACACTCAAGGCTTAGCCGGCGCCTGAGCCACGATGTGCGAGGCGCTCAGCACCCAGAAGCCTCTGGCGCGGGCCCAGGCAGCGGTCATGCCTGAGGCTTCTCCCCGAGGCCCCGCACCCCACCGCCGGCACAGGGAGCCAGTTACAGCGCACAGGGTCCTGAGGAGCCCGCAATGCCGCCGCCAGACGGCCTGGAACAGACAACGCGGGGCCAGCTCAAAAGGACACGGCAGTGCACAGGCTGCTGGGCGTTGATGTGGTCCACAGTCCGCGGTCCCCGCTCCCCCCCCCGACCCCAGGCCCGCGGCAACAAAGAGAGGACAAGTCTGGTTTCAAATAAGTGTTTACTGAGACCTATTTAAAACACTGCGGCCCTTAATTCAAGAGCCTCATTGAGCCGAATGGCCGACGGCTGCACAGGCAAAGGCATCACAGTGGCAAAAACACGTCCCACCTAGACCTGGTGGCTCCACTTGGCGAGAGCAGAACAGGTCCCACACCGCAATTCCAGGAGCGCTCAGGGCCGCTGGCCCATCTTCTTCAAGGTTCGGTTGAGCTACCAGAGAAAGAAAAGCAACGTCAGAGCTTCTCAGGCCTTCGAGGTGTAAGCGGTGGCCAGGCCGCCCCTGTGTGGTCAGGGAGGGGAGTCCGGCGTGGCTGTGGTGTCTACTCTGCGCAGAGCTGGCCCTCCCCCTTGGCCGCACGCCCAGCACAACCCGACATGTGCCCTGAGGCTCTACCCGCTGACGGAGAGCAGACGAGCCAGCGGCTAGACTCGCCGGGTGTGTCGGCCCGCGGGAGCCGAGCGCGGCCTGGGCTGGCAGGGACCTCTGCTGAGACGCACAGCAGCGGCGCGGAGTTCCTAGGGGGCCGGACCACTGCTAGGCCGGGCGTCTGGGCAGAGCCTGCGCCGCGCCCGCCTGCCCGCAGGGAACTGGCCGG